ACATGGCTTGTGAGTACGGCTGCAGTCTCGCACTGTGTAATCGCTGACTTTGGATGAAGACTGATGTTACGAAGAGGTATATTGACTGGGCCATCAACAATGACTTTCAAGTCATTGATGTCAATATTCCGAGAGTCGTTGCAGTGGAAGACGTGAGCTTTCGCGATGCTTTTGCCGAAATAGCTTGCTAATCACAGTCAGTCGATCATCGGCTACACAAGATCCGATGATTCCGCAGTCCGAGCGCAGCAAACCCGCGAGCTTGCAGCGTATCTGTGGGAGAACTATATTGAGTAAGTCTCTCAGAACGCGCTTTTGATCAATTGTTAACGTGTAAATAGACCAAACGAGGCGACGCAGGTGTTCTTCATGGGTATCGGCGATGCGTATCTTGGACTTGTTGATCTACTGAGCCACAACGGTAAGCATCCCAAGTCCTCTTGCAGCTTGCCTTCCCAGAGCAGCGCCTGACTTTACAGAAAACTGCACCGATCCGGATAGCCCAGTCGAGTGCTTAATCGGATTTGTGGGAGAAACAACTATTCAGTCCATCAAACGAGCAACGGACGACACCATTTCCAGCTGGTACTACTCCGTAAGTACGCTTGAAGACTACAACATGATACCAGCTAAGATTCGCAGCACTCTATGATCTTCGTGAAGAACAGCCACTTCGTCTGGAATCCGAGCCGTCAACGCAAGATGCGCAAGAAGCTTGGCAACCTTATCCAATCGCCCAAGGACAGTTTAGACGATATGCTCGAGCAGCATTTGGATGAAGTGCAAAGCCTACTTTTGGAAAAGAAGAGCGAGTTTGAAGAGATGAATGACATTTCCAGTCGTACTGACGAGGGGCCGCAGAACACGGTCGCAGGGCTGCGAAGCCCGCCTGTAGCGAGCGCGTCACACACATCTAGGCGGTTTGAGCAAGAAGCCGCCTCGAATCTGTTAAAGAGCCCTAAGATGCCTCAAATGGGCTTGTTCAGTGCGAGCAGTCCACGGAGTCCCGTCAAAAGGCCACCCTTTTGAGCTACTTGAAGCTGGTCGAGAGATGGCGTGATTTGCGGCATCCATCATATTCGTTGCATGGCCTGGCGTATCTGGCATACCTTTTTCGCTGTACGATGAAGCGGTGTCTGATGTTTGATGTGTTGAGTACACGCGCTGCATTTCTTCAATCGCAAATAATCAACATCTCCTAGAGGACAGCTGCGCCTCATTAATATGAGTACCCCGATGATGACAGTGATGTTGAACGAAAGTCTTATTGATAGCTTTGCTGATGCGATGCAAAACCTCGGTACTTTGAGCCGCTTCAAGATGGTCGGCTTGCGCCTCGCTTAGGTACGAGCCCTGGAGATGGCTAATCATGACGCCAGCCGTTATCCATCGAACCGGCCGAGCCCTACGCCTCACGACAGCCGCTCCGCGCTCGCATGATCCTCCACCCACCACAGCAATTACTCCGCACACGCATCGCAATCAGCATACTGCGCCCAAGCCATGCATGCGCCAAGCAGACGGGCCCGCTTTCATGGCCGGGTCGCTGACCAACGCTAACCTCACTCGAGGCTGGCGGCTCAAACGCTCGATGCTCATTCCTTGACGACAACTCAGCTGTGCTCCACCACATGCCAGCTCGCGTACAAGAAGGATCTAGACGGCATGGCAGCTGCGAACAGCGCAAATCGATAACTAGACACGCGGAAAGAGTTGCTACGCGCCCTTGGCCAACATCTCCAGATTCCTCAGAACGAGGTTGGAACGAGATTGTCAATACTGATGCACTCGGCGGCGCAGTCAAAGAGATGGTGGCACGGAAATAGGCCAAGTGGTGATGGGCCAGCATCAGCACTAGCTGCCGTTACACATATCCAACCTTCTATCGACTGTGCTTCTTATTCCCTGCTGACATGCTGATGGCACGCCCCGCTGGCGAATTTACAGGCATGTTGCTGCAATGGCTGTACGCCTCAGATGCGCCCGCACAAGGGCGCGCCTGCCAGATCGGCAACATTGAATGTACTGATTGGTTGCATAAGACGAACAAAGGCTATGTATGATGGCAGATACAGGAAGGTGGCCTGTCGCTTGGTCCACTATCCGCAGTGCGGCTGTGGGGGCTGGAAACAGCGGTATCGAGCAAGATGGGCGGAAGAGTGACTTAAGGGTTGGGGGTCAGCCTGCTGGGTCACCTCTGCTCTGTTTCCTTCTTTGAGCCTTTATGCTGCCTGCTACACTGCTAGCATTGCATTCATATTTTTCCGACAATCAGAAAGCCGAGTGGACTAAGAGATCACGGGCTTTGTGCTGGAGGCTGGCCTTACTATTGTGCTTATCTACTCGCCACACAACCATCGCAATGAGACGCTCGTGGACCGCAAGGCTAGCAGTGGCCATCGCGACCAGCCAACTCTACGTTTCGTCTACTATGGCGCAAGATGTCTCACAGACAGCATCCAACAATATACAATCTTCATCGGCGACACCTACGACCTCGGAAGCAGTAGAATCGTCGACTGCAACACCGACATCGTCGGGTGAACCGACAATCCACTCAATCAAAGCTGGCGCCGGAGGCTTCAAATTTACACCGCAAGAACTTCACAATGTCTCCGTGGGCGACATCATCCAATGGGAATTTTATCCACCAGATCATTCGGTCGCGAGAGCTGAGTTCGGATCAGCATGCGTTCCGTATGAGTATACGGGAAAAGACAAAGTAGGGTTCTGGTCTGAGACCCAATGGGTGAACAATACGAATGAGGTTGGTCCTTCGATGAACAGCCGGCCAAGTTACGCTAACACTCTCGCAGCTCACATACTTCAATGTTACGATCAACTCGACAGAACCCATCTTCTTCTATTGTGCAGCACCGAACTCGTGCCTGGGCGAACACATGGTCGGAGTCATCAACCCGAACTCTACGCAAACACTGGCATCGCAAGTTCAGGCGGCTGCCGCAGCAGACTTTCAACTAGCGCCTGGCGAACCAGTTCCTGGTGAGGCGACATCGACGCTGTCTAATGCTCCTACGTCAACGGGAGCACCGCCACCGTCTAACGGGGGAGGTCATGGTGGCGGTCATAGCCTGTCCACTGGTGCCATCGTTGGCATAGTAATTGGTGGCGTGGCTTTCCTGGCAATATGTGCCGCTCTCTTTTTCTTTGTAGGCCGATCCAAGTCGTTGAAGGAGGTTATCAAACAGCGAGATGGTACGAATACCCACGATCCAAACATGAGCCAACAGTACGGTCGCTCGGACTACGGTCATGGAGGACTCTCATCGCCAGGGTTTCAATCGCCAGCTCCTGGCTATGCTACTCCACCGCCAGGACACTACCCAGACTATGGCTTCAACTCGCCCCCAGGATACGGTCAGCACAATGTAGGAGAGCAGTACCCGTCGGGTTGGACCAGCCCTGGGCCCCAACACGGCCATATGAGTATGATGAGCAACGTCAGTGGGTTGTCGCAGCAACAGTAAGTATCACTCGTTTGAAAGATACCTAGCCTAGACATGCACGCTAACTATGTTTGTAGGATCGACCAACTAAAGCATGCACAGATGAACGGGCAACCTGCCGTAGCAGAGTTGCACAGTCCACCGCTGGAGCAACAGTCTTTCTCGGCAGAGTTGGACGCATCTGGACGCAATAAGCCAAAATGATGAGCGATATGTATTTGAATTATCATCTTTAGCTCGTATGCAATGTTCGTCCGATACCATGTGAATAAAGTAGTGCAATGCCCAAATGGGACTCGTGCAGACAACGTGTTAAAGCATGAAAAACCTTTGACGCCGCTGTAGAGGCTGGATCATACGATGCAGGCTACCTCGAATAGAGAATACAGAAGAGATCTATATGGTGCAAGCTTATCGATAACGTGAAGTGTAGTCACACCTTTGTTGTACGTCCGACTCTCGCAACGACGCTGGAGAATACACAAGTAATACACGAACCGACTCGAGACTAGATCTGCTCTCGGAACTCACGGCAGCAAGAAGATCGGTCTAGCTGACGGTAGACCGTACAGCAACGAAACCATCATGTACTGCATCTGCAATTGCCACACGATACCATTTCGGGCCTTCTGTGTAAAACCCTGCCAAGCGGCCCTCGTCTCGTCGAGTGATGTCGTGGCATTGTAAAACGTGGGCCGGCAACCAGCGGCTAGCGACATTGTGGTACCAGAGTTTATCGCAGGTAGATAGCAGAGGGTCCGCGGGTTAGGTAACTTTGAGGTTGGAGTTGGACGCGTCGCGCATAGTGGGTACTCGAGCGGGGATAATTGTCAGTTGATCGGTCGTCCTGTGAGTGAACTCTGCCAGGCGTTGAATGCTTTGTGTGATGATGACTGCAACATGCATGTTTTTTTGTCGAAGTGACATCACGCTCATCGTGTAGTCAAGCTTGAATAAATTGAAGACTGGCGCAGTTTCGCAAGAGCAAAAATCTACACTCTATCTAAGCTAGTGCGAGCGGAAGCTAGCGATCGGTTGTCGTCTTCTGGAAATTTTGATTAGAGGATGTTCCCTCCATGTCTAGGGCTTAATGGCTGTTCATTGGCGGTCAGGCGCTCCGCACAGCGATGACGAGCATGTTGGCACGCAGGGCCGATGCGCCTACACGCAACCAGCCAGGAAATGCGGTGAGAATTACTAAAGGGTGCGCAGGACAGGAAGAAGCAGCCATGGGATGGTTTGCCGATGTTCAAGAGGGTGCAAGGTTTGCCCGGCAGCCTACAGAAATCCCCGGACGTCACACGTGGTGTGGGCGCTGCCTGCTATCGTCAGAACGCCAGCCAAGACTCGCTCAAGCAAGAGCGGCCGCCCTACGCACTCGACGCCAGATGAAGCCTCGCCGATGGTTCCTCCCTTCCCCACGTTCCTGCCAACAGTTCCGTGACCGTCCTCAGGCCTGACTATGATTTGCACCGCGGTTGCCCGATCTTGCCATCTTCCTCCACCCTAGGACCCCCAGCCCGGCACAACGACATGATCACTTCCTCACCCACAATCTCGCAACCGCCCTCGCCGAACACGACCTTCCACACGCCTAGCCACCGCCCGTACCATGCCTCGCGACGCACATCGGCTTCCTCCAGCGCCCACTCGCCCCGCTTTGCCGTGACCACGGTAGCCTCACGGCGATTCGACGCGCCGCCCACCCCAAAGCCCGCCTTCTCGGCGCCCTCGCCAGTCCCGACGTTTGCGCCCTCGCCCCAGAGCCGCAAGAGGGGATACGTCGACTCGGGCACCCAGTACTCGCCGTCTGGGTTTCCCCCGACATATCGGCCGCAGCCCAGCAACCGCAGCAGTGCCGATATCGCTCTCGATTCCTCCACCCTTGACCAGGACCAGGACCAGGACCAGAAAACGGCCGACCCGACGTCTTCCAGCGCTCCTGCCACTGTGCCTACACCGCGGGGGGATACCTCCGCCGCGCCTGCCGTCACGGAGCCCCCCGAGCCCCAAGTGCGGGTGAGTCCGCAGCCCATCGCGCCCGCGAACAATGTGCAACCTCAGGGTCGCCGCATGTCGCACGAGAGCACGCATGCGGAAGTAGAGCCAGCCGGGGTGCAGAAAGAGGAAAGCACTGTCTTGCAGGTTCCTGCCTCGCCAGCTAAGAGAGCGAGGCCCGAGGAGCCAGGCGTCAAGGTCATGCCTCTTCAGTATGAGACGTGCGACGTCAAAGACCTTGGTGTGCTCATCTCCGACATGCTCATGGAGTTGGTGCGGCTCAACGACGGTTACCCGCTGCGCGACGGCACACTTACACGATTCCACTCCAGGTGCGTCCGTCCAAGTCTGACTGAAGCAGTGTTCGCTGACATTGATCCCCAGAGCCCCGCCGGGCATCTCAGTACGAGACTATCTCTCCCGCCTCATAGTGCACGCTACACTGTCTCCGCCTATTCTCCTCTCCATGGTCTTCTACGTCGACAAGCTGTGCGCCATGTACCCCGCCTTTACAATCAGCAGCCTTACCGTGCATCGATTCCTCATAACTGCTGCGACAGTCGCGGCCAAGGGCCTTAGCGATAGCTTTTGGACCAACAGCCTATATGCAAGGGTCGGCGGCGTTAGTGTCCGTGAATTGGCGTTACTCGAGCTGGAGTTTCTGCGGAGGCTCGAATGGCGCATTGTCCCAAAGCCGGAAGTACTCGTAGATTACTACAAAGGTCTGGTCGATCGTGGCGCAGGATACGTTATAGAGAAGGAACCGAATTCAGGGCCGACGGCCAACTCGAACCACGTAACCACGCCTACGGGATCAGCGACAGGGATACACACCAATCAATCAGGCACATAATGATGGAAGCTCTTGAGCGCTGAGCAGCATCATGCGACGATATCAAGCCAGCTCATGAAACGCTCCCAAATGCAGTTAGCGTCTCTACCTCGATAGCTTTGGTCGCAATCATGAGTTCGCGAAGACGACGTTGCGGGTTATCTTATCTGTTTCCAATGTCAAGCCAAACCGTGGCCGCCCTTGTATGGAAGGCTGGGAAGACGGCTGGTTGGATGTCGATGAGCTGGCGAACATGACTCGGCAGGAGTTATCACCTACAGCCTCTCCTCCAACGGGGGATCTTATCGAGCTGCCGGAGGCACATCACTACATCATCTCAGGCTCGTGCCATCAGCAAGCACGCTCATAGGCATCTTTTCGATGCCACCAGCACGGTCCGTCACAGTGACGCCTCTCGTAGCTATCAAAAGCCCAAGGCATGGTTCAGAGCAACAGAACAGCTAGGGATGAAGCAGAACATTGCCCTCGTGTGACCGCTTGTTTAGCAGACGACGAGCGCAGGATGCACGAGGCGAGTGAGAAAGTTGAATAGCAAGCATTACTTGAAAAGTACCAGCAAAATTAAATCATCAACCCCTTTCAATATGCATGCCACTATCTTGTGAAGGGAGTTCTGGCAGACGCACCACGGTCAAGCCGCTAAGAGCATGCATCGTGAGTAACGTGGACGAGTAGAATCGGCTGCTAGCATACCCCAGTCGTAAGACGCACGGGTGCCGCAGAGTGAGGCTAACACTCCACCCCTATGGCGTAGCTCTTCGTGCTATCGCGCTCCTTTGCTGCGACGACGGAGGTTCCTGCAAATGCCACGGCGCCAGGAGAGCCGAAGCATGCTACACGCGACCTTGATCAACGATGTCGGCTTAGGTAGTGGTGACCCTGACCCAAGAGTTGAACATGACCTGACTTGAAACCCTCCGTCCTTCATTCTCCACCCCCACTACACTCTCCACGCGTCTGTCTTTACGAGGTCACATTAGAGCAATCGTGTGCCGGCGCTACCCCGAGCACCTCGCGATCCAGACGTGATCTCCACCCCGACCCGCGGCAGACGCGTCTTACTCCTCCGGCGGCGGCAGTAGCGCGACTATAGTACTATGAGGGTGAGTGTGTATATGTCACAAGAGCCCACGGACCCAATCGAGCACTCTGTGTTCCTCGCCAGCTCTGGCTTTACTTCCCTGGCTTGTCTGAAACCTTCGCACGTGCTCAAGTTGCTCGTCGATAGTTCCGCCATGCTGCTTGATCACTCTGTAATTGACAGCCCACTAACTGGCACCAGAGGTTCAGGTAATTCTCCAACACAGAGTGCTATGCGTAAGAGATGAACTCGGAATACACCCGCTGGGATGGTATCAAACACCAGTACGACAGTCCTTGGAGCGCGCCTCGCCCCGAGGCACCGCCAGCGCCGTCTGCCCTCCCGTACGCGTTCCCCGAGCCCTTCCCGCAACTCACAAATGGGTTCCAGCAACTGCAGGTGGGAAAGCACCCAAGAACGCGAACGTCGCCCGTAGTCACGCGCACACGCATAACCAGACACGGCTCCGAACCAAACCCTACAAGACCGCTGTCTAGCGGAGGAGACGCCCACATGGTCCCTTACCAGACCCTCGTCCCGCATCGTCGCTCCGAATCCTACTCCCAGCCCACCCCGCTCGAGGACTTCCGCAAGTCAAGACGATGGCCGCCGAAAGGATACACGTCGGAGGATGCGCTGGAACCTGACCAGGCAGAGGAACTTATATGTGCCGGTGCGTCGTCGTTCAAGGGATATTGCGACGCGATAGCCAACGCACCAGCGGGCTATGATCGCTTCTATGCGGTCATGGAGGCTGAGCATCAGAGTCGAACGGACCGCGCATCTTTCCAGCAGGAGGCATACCGGGACATTTCGCTCAACATGACGGGTGCGTCTGATAGCCAGTTTCCGTGGTTGGCTCACGAGTACCCTTGCATGGCGTACGCGTTTGGCAAGAGTGCAGGAACCACAACTTTGAACAACTGGGTCAGCAAGTGGAGGACCAGTCAGCCTCCTACACAATTCGCGAGCGAGGTCAAGCCACGGAAGATCAGGCTCCTTCAGATTCTGGACCGGTTACAGACCCTAGAGAGCGGCCTCAATGAAGATGTCAGTCAACAGTCGTGCTCGGGGTGCTTTGGTTCGAATGATCCTAACTATTGGTTTCGCAGGATCCTGAGGACTTATATCGCTACCTATACGGTACACTGATCGAAGACCCGGAGCGATTTGACGAAGAGCGCCGCCATGTTCGGATCGACCAGCAGATCACAGATCTCATCACAGTACTCAGCAACCCAAAATGGGTAGATTTCTCACACCCCAAGAACCAGGTTGTGGCGAAGTGGTTCGATTCTCCCGATCCGCAGCGGAAGCAAGACTTCTTCCACCAACTGCTACTGTCAGTGGAACTCTACCTTCGAATACACTCCAAGCACCATACAGACAAGTCCAAGCGAAAGCTCATCCTGCAGCTCCCAGCCATCATCACATGGGACCTAGCAGTGGCTCAACGGTGGCTCGAGAACATGGAAATTACGAAGACGCGTACATCATCCACCCAGAGCACTTTTAGCTTCGATCTGAGGAGCAAGAGCAGACAGATCGAAGCATTGAGGCTCTTTGCGGCAACGCTCAAATGGCCGAACATGGATGAGGTTGAGTATGTCCTAGAGGAGCAGGACCTGAAGGAGAAAGCACTCGAGGACCGGTCCGCGGATGCCATGTCCTGGTTTTCCGGGATTATCTTGCCAGGTCGGACACTCCCGTGGCTCATCATGAACAGCTTGATAGACTGTGACCGAGACACCGGGGATGCTTTAAAGTACCTGACTCACGTGCATCCTGCATCTGGATTCCAATACCGAGCGAATACGTACTGGTCATCACAGTCCATTGTTGGAAAAGTACTAGGGGCTGCACGCGGGGTGAAACAAATTGCTGGCTGGATTGGACCATGCATCTACACCCCAGATCTCAAGCGGACAGAGTGCGTAAAGGTTAGACAGCACGAGTCTCCGGATCCCATGCTTGTTTCCATCGACGTAGAATCTATGGATCAGCGCAGCAATCCCTTGGGCGCGCCAGACGACATGTATCCCGTGGACGACTACGAGGTCCCTATGCCAGACACCGAAGATGTCACAGACCTCATACGTATGGAGAAGCTTCGCTTCATCCCCGTTAAGGAGCGTCCAGAAGGAACCAGACATGCTGCTGGTCCTCCAATACTGTTTGATGCTGGCATTTCATTTGCATGTGGTGGTGAGAGCTGGGTGATGAAGCTGCGATACAATGTCGACTTCATCAATGCCTTCCCCTGCCACCAGGGCCCTCATGGTATGGATTATTCCTCAACAAAAGCTTGTCGCATGCTAACACCCGTCAGTGCTTTTCTACGACTTTAGTTACAAAGCCATAAAGATCGACGACGGCCTCGTCGACATCCATGATTGGGGTACCCAGTCTGGTCGCATACCCCGTCCCACGTCGTCCAAATCCTCTCCTGGCAAGAAAGCCCTCACACTCATGAACGAGAAGCAAAAGAGCGCGCACGAGCAGGTTACCAATGTCCTTGTTATAGAGGCTCTGGGTGTGAGTGATAACGAGGTTTTCGCAAGAGCATGGTGCGCGCATCATGGGCATAGTGCTATAGTGGCAAACATCAAGGAGACGTGCATGGCTTGTGCGATTCGGGAGGCGTACGCGGCATGTGTGGCTGTTGTCATACTTACTGAGGGGGGTGTCGTGAAGGAGAACGATACCGAGGTTTATGGATATGGATGAAGAGACGAATCTTCTGAGGGTTATGCATTTGCATCTTTCTGGGTCTGCTTCGGCACCCTTTTGTATTGATGGCTACACGATTCTCTTTTGTCTTGGCGGCGGTACGGTGGCATCGGGAAGGGGATTTGGGATGCGTGTCACGACTGTAACGGTACTCATCGGAGTTTGAATCATGATTATGTAGCATGTTATGAATGTACGCATTTGCTCTGTTCGGACATGGAAACCTTGGAACGACTTCGCATGAAGGGTCGATCACGTGGCGATAACCAAAGTGTTATCGCGCGACTCTGACGTTTGCGCCAACGCGATGGAGCGCGGGCGGCTTTGTGCATCATCAAAGTTCCCTCGCGACCACGCGGCGAAGCATGACTTACCTCGCAAACTTCTCATCGCGACTGACGACTGTTTTGAATTAGCGCTTACTTGCCGCATGAACAGTGATACAATTCTCTATTGCGCCTTCCTACGATTCTCCAACCTCTCAAGCCGCAGTTTCCCTGGGACGCTTCCATTGCGCCGTTCGTCATTGCCACACGCTTGTGCGCCCAGCACTGAACCTCTTCGCATGAGGCTGCACGACGACCGTTAATCTGCGCCAGTCGGTTGTAGCACACACCCATTACCGAAAACCGCTCGCTCTCCGTCTACGCCATGGGCCGGTCAACGATTCCTCCGGCACTCAGCGAGCTCGCGAATCCGAGCACGCCCGAGGCACAGCTCGCCGCGCTCCAGAATCTGAAGAATGAGATTGTCGGACACGAGCAGAGGAAGGAACTGGCAGTGACACACGGTGTTGTGAAACCACTGGCGGGCTTGCTACGGGCGGAAGCTAGGAAGGGTGGGAAGAGGAGGAGAAACGTCACCAATGGACACAGCTCTGGGCTCTTCAATGAGTCCAGAAAGAGCGTCGAGGAATGGACGACCGAGGACGAGCTGAGGTTCCAGGCCACGCTCGTCGCTGGTAGCCTTGCGAATGGTGAGCGCGCATCGCGAACTGATCCATTTTGAAGGAACATGTTGGCTGATATTTGAGACATACAGGCGGACCAGCGTTCGTCACTCCGCTTCTGGCAGGTCACGTACTACCTCCCCTGCTTGAAGCGCTACGACCCAGCGAGACGCCTTCGAAACTCGTTACCACGACCCTCAAAACCCTCAACCAGATCGTCGATGCAGTCAACCAAGAAAA